AAATAAAAAGAATAAAAAAATGAGTAAGAAACGAAACGTAAAGTGAACCTTAATTGCAGAACCGGAAGGAAAAATACCTTGAGACCGAAAGAACTGAGGAAATGAACCTATACTGAAAACGATAACGCAATTATGTGGCCAATCTGGCACAATCAAAAATATTAGATCTGTCACGTGATCGAAACCCCTACAAAAAAATATAAATAAAAATGATTATAAATAATTGTTAATTATATAAACAATAAGTAATAATATAATAATAAAAGCATTTTATAAGATTTTACTAATAATTAACAAAAAAAAAAACTTAATTAAAATTCACGTAAAAAATAATGATAACAAAAAAAACTGATTATGTAAATGATTGAAATGAAAATAGTTTTTGTAACTACAGTAACAATATAAATAAAATTATTATGATTTGACTATGGGTATAATAACATTAATTATAATTTTTTTTTTTGGAAATAAGCCTTATAATAATATTTTTTTAGAACTAATAAAATTATTTTTAAAAAAAAAACAAATAAATTTTAATAAAAAAATGCCATCTCTTATTTCAACTATCGGATATATTACTGAAGCAAGTACAATTACATTTGTGGATTCCTTCTGATACTATATAACAAAAGGAATAGTTGCTTGTAATAAACCCGAGGAAAATGGTCCCTTATTTATTAATTTTGTTATATTTAACTCCAAAGATAAAAAAATTACCGATTAATTGAATTCAACTGTGTATACTTGCTTTATGATAAGTTCATCTATAATACAACTAAATGGTGTAAATTGTAAATAATTTCAAGTAAATAAGCTTTAAAGATAAAATAATAATTGTTTATTGTGTATTTTTTTAATTTAAGTATCTTATAAAAACAAAATGAGTTAAATTTGTTTAATATTTGTGCTTATGTGTAATAAAATATCTAAAAATTTTGTTTAAATTTTGTTTTTTTGTAATAAGACATAAATTGGACAAAAATGGTGTTTTTTTGGATGTTTTTTATACATGAACACAAATTTAGCACATTTCATTTTTGTAGGGTATTAACAAATCTCCTTTTTTATTTTATTTAGATTTTTTTATTATTAAATTTAAAATAACATTAATAATTAGTAAGATAAAATTCATTTTTCACTTGATTAATAATACTTCAAACTTGAATTATAAATAACATTCTTTAATTCTTAATTAATTATATATAATTCATATTTAAAAAAATAAAGTCTTTAAAAATAAATACTATATAAATAACCATTTTTTCGTATAATGTATAAACATTAAAATTTAATTTGTTATGTAAAAAGCTTAACTAGATGTTAAAATTTTGAAAATCATGAATTTGTTATTCAATTTAACGAATCAAATGATTTTACAAAATTTTCACAAAATTAATATTTTAAGCACAAATTTATGATCAACTACCCATTTGATTTATACATTCTTATAAATAAAGAAAACATTTGGACGATGAAGTCACTCACAATAAAAATCAATCCCTAGTTTATTAATAAAGTCCGTTGTCATGTTGATCACAAAAATTAATGATCAACGAAATTAAATTTCACTACAAAACTCTATAATTTGATGGCTAAATTTAACGTAACATGAAAGTGCAATTTTGCCCCCTAGACATTTGTACTGTACTAAACTGTACTGTTCTATAATACTTTCGAAAAAAAATTGAAGATCATGCCCATATTTTGATAATGACAAGATAACCTTATTTGCTAGATCATTCCAAAATCAATTAATTGATCAACAAAATTATTTTCTAAAATGTTAATTATAACATTATAATGGCGTAAAATATGGTTACGGTACATTTCGCCGAAAGCCATTTCGCCAAAAGGACGTTTTGCCGAAAAATAGGGCCAACATTATGCAGAATTATAAATAACAGGCCAGAGATTATTTTTCGGCGAAATGACTTTCGGCGAAATGTCCCGATACCGTAAAATGGTTAAATATGCATCAATATCGCACATCATTTACCATTTTTAGTGTGGTGCTTTTTTAGATGTTTTTACAAATTTAACACATTTCATTTTTAAAGGGTGTGATGAGCAAAATAATTTAAAAATCTGCAATAATTGTTGGTGAATTCATAAAAATTCGATACGATCATCAATAAAAAGTTATTTCCGTGGGTAAAGATTATTAATTCCATGAATTTTACGGAATGTGAAATACGGGATCAACTTATTATATTTCGATCTTTCACATATGATTATTAATAAATGGAATCCAAAGTGCATAGCAAATTCACGAAATGAAAATTTCAATTTATATTATTGTGCTTTCAAAATTGTGACTAGTACCTTTCCTATAAAAACGAAATGAGTTAAATTTGTTTAATATTTGTGCTCATGTGTAATAAAATATCTAAAAAAGCACCATTTTGTTTAATTTTTGTTTTTTTTTTGTAATAAGACATAAATCGGACAAAATGGACGTTTTTTATACATGAACACAAATTTAACACATTTCATTTTATAGGGCTCATATTTAGAAAAAAAAAATTTGATTTCTTTATAATTCATGTTAATTCGCATGTGTATAGTTTGGCTTGTGTACCGTAAACGGTTGGCTATAGTATCCGGGTGTCATATACTGTAAATTAAAGCTTCTGGAGGTGGATACTTTGTATTGGGTACAAGACTAAATTTGCTTTATGATCGAAATGTTATTTTCCAATTTAGAAAGACAATTTAATTATAAATTTTATACTTTTCCCATTTGTATAACCTAAACACGTCTTAAAGAATAAAGAAACCTTAGCTTTTTTTGTTTTACATATTTTATTTTCTTAGCTTTTTTAGTAGACTTTGATACAAATGAAATATGATTATGAAAATGAATTTAATTGAATATTAATACTAACAATTTTAACAAGTACTAGAGTTTAATAATGATAATGTTTGTTTTCGTAATAAATTTTATCCCCATAAATACAAAGTATAATAATACAAATTAAGCGAAAATATTTTTACGGTCTTCATGCATAGTGCCAGTCTTACTTATACTTTGGGGTACTATAATTTGTACAAGCAAGCATCTTTTCAGAAATAATGCCCTATAAAAAAAATTGGTCAAACACTGTTCGGTTTTTTGTTCGGAAAATTGACCCCGTTCCGAACATTTACTTGACATTTATTGGACAATTATCATGATATTGTACATTTTTTATGTGGTTGAAAATTCTCAATTTCTGCATCTTCAGTTAACAATTATTGTATAATAATGTGCGAGTGTTCGGAAAATTGACCCCATTCCGAATATCTATCAGACAAACATTTTTTATAGGGATGATAATAATTTTGAGACATAATGAAGTTTGTCAAACTTGTAATTATTATTAATATAATCCTTTTGCATATACTCATTCCCATTTTAAATTTGAAGTATGAATTTTCGAAAATTTTAATAGTATTATAGTAAGCTGCGTAATTACACCTCGAAAAACAAAATGATGTAGAGGAAGGTCGAAATAGTAGCAATACAAAAGTGTTTTAAGAAATATTTGCGTATTGTAACATAAGATTTTTTAAATAAAAAATGGAATAATGGATTTATTTATAAAATATGGGACCCGTTCACATTACCGACAATCATTTTATCGACAAGTACACTTTACCGACAGGTACATTTTACCGACACATTTTACCAACACTCATTTTACCATCAACACTTACAGTATTTATTACTATTTCACTACCCCGGCCACTTCAGTTATGAAAATCAAAATACATATTTATATAAAAGAATTTACAAAAAAAAATTTCAATAACTAAATTACAAAAAATTACGTCATTAATATGTAAATCAAAAACTATTTACTCTTATTTTTATACATATTTGATAAGCAGAAATGTTTAAAATTTCAGGTATTACATCATTATATATAAATTATGTTTAATATAATAAAATATTTTTTAAAAAATTTACTTTTACTTAAAATTGTTCTTAATAATTTTCTTAATTTGCTTTTTTTGTAAGCATTCTAGAGTATTTCAAAATGCTAATTGAATATATAAATAATAGGGTTTAAAATTTGTGCGCACCCCCATGGATATATTATATATAAAAGTCAAAAATGACATTCTAAACCCTTTATGGCTCATTAAGTAAAGTTGTAGAATAGGCAAAATTACGCATAGTAAATAAATTTTTAAGGCTCTATAATATGTACGTGAGAGTTGCGGCATGAATATTTAAAAAAATCGGGATTTTACTAAAATCACGTGACAATTAATGATCGACAAATTTACTATATAAAAATTACCAAAAATGGAGGGTGCGCACATGCGCGGGTGCGCACAAATTTTATTTCCTAAATAAATAATTATTTCAATATTACTTTATTTTAAAATAGATCTTTACTGGGGGTGATCATCACCGTTGGCCAGAATTATCAATTTTTACCGGCACTATATTTTTTTAATGCTGGTCGATCATCATAATTTCAGTCACCGGTGATCATCACCCCCGGTGGTAGTTAGAAAAATTCTACAAAATAATATATTGTCGGCGGTAATGTGAACCAGTCACGTACACCAAGGTTTCCATAGTGGAAACTATACCACTTCGACCAGTGGAATACATATGTTCGAATTTCGGAATTAAATTAAACAGGAATTTCCTAAATAACGTGCGAAGGTTTCAAATAAATTATAGAATAGCGATAGCGGTATGTAAGTTAGTAAATTATTTTCGTCAATATAATTATTTTTTAACTACGTGAAAATTATTGACAAATAGACTGAAAGTGATGAATAATTTAATTACAGATTTATACTACAAAATTTATAATTTCATATGAATTTTAAAAAATATTGAAAAAATTGTACGAATTTAATAAATAATAGCAGCAAATTTATATTGTACAATTTCTGTTTATTAAATGTAACAAATCTTACAATAATTGTACATTTGATTTTTTATAAAAAAATAAAATTTGATTCAACTACACGAATACTGAATGAAAATTGGACAATGATTACAATTTAAAGTTTTCGAAAATAAAGAACAATTCATATTTCAAAAAAAAAAAACTCAGTATATTTAAGAGATTAATTTTTTGATATAACTTCATCAATTTAAGCCTCAAAAAGATGCTTGCTTGTAATAATTTATACGTTCAGTTTTAACAGCCAAGAAAGCAAGCCAAGAATAGTAAGAAGAAATAATAACATTAATAAATATGAAGAAGAAATATTCATCATGGTATGATTTTTTAAGAATAATACTAATCAAAATCAAAATCGATATGATATCTGGAAAATTAACCTTCGCATATACCAGTAGTACAAAAGCAAGTTTTGGGTTTTATTAAACAACAACATTTTTCGGGTAGCTTACATTTTCCTTCACAACCATCATCAGCGAGAGTTGTTTTAATATTAATAGTACAAAATATGAGAAGAGTGAGATAAATAAATAAAATTAAATGTCTCGGATTCATGGTGAAATTGAGTTAAATGTGTAATTATTATGAAGAGATGTGAGAGATGTGTTGTTATTAAAATTGATTGTACGGGGAGAACTAATAGTTATGAAAAATCAAAAGGTGCAAAAGAGAGACCATTTTATATCTATCGCGTAGGTAAATCAATTTCACAATCAACCATTGGAACAACCATAATAAGACTATCCGATGTTACACAAATTAGCAATAGAAATTAAGTCGGTATCTGACCTTACCCCTTACTGATACTTTTTTTTTATTATTATTACGAAGTTTCACGCCGATCTTAAATGGGTAAAATATCCAATTCGGTAACCCTTTAAATTGAAGATAATTCATTAGATGATAAAATTTTCATTTCGTGAACTTGCTATGCACTTTAGATTCCATTTATTAATAATCATATGTGAAAGATCGAAATATAATAAGTTGATCCCGTATTTCACATTCCGTAAAATTCACGGAATTAATAGTCTTTACCCTATAAAATGAAATGTGTCCAAAAAAGCACCATTTTGTCCGATTTATGTCTTATTACAAAAAAAAACAAAAATTAAACAAATGGTGCTTTTTTAGATATTTTATTACACATGAGCACAAATATTAAACAAATTTAACTCATTTCGTTTTTATAGGGTTACCCCTGATCGTATCGAATTTTTATGAAAGTGGACACAGGCCAATTTGTCTGGTTAATTTCACCAACAATTACTGCCGATTCTTAAAGAAATAAATTATATTTGTGTTCATGTGTAAAAACGTCTAAAAAAACACCATTGTGTCCGATTTATGTCTTATTATTATAAAAAAACAAAATGGTGCATTTATTACACGTGAGCACAAATATAAACAATCAAAAAAATTTGAGGCTATGTACTGCATATATTAAATTAGATAACGTTAAAAAAGAGAAATAAATTTATTATAAGAAAGGTGCAATTATATTTATTTATTTATTTATTTAAAAAAAAACCTGCCCCTATAAAAACGAAATGAGTTAAATTAGTTTAATATTTGTGCTCATGTGTAATAAAATATCTAAAAAGCACCATTTTGTTTAATTTTGTTTTTTTGTAATAAGACATAAATCGGACAAAATGGTGCTTTTTTGGACGTTTTTTATACATAAACACAAATTTAACACATTTCATTTTTATTAGGGCTGAGTTTGTCGATGGAAAAGATTGTCGGTGAAGTAGTTGTCGGTGAAATTAACCAGACCCTGACCTTGCCCATTATTGTGTCCGACATATTTTCACGATCGAAAAATTTTTGTTTATGTACTATATGGTTGTTTCCTGAATTAATGTAACCTTATCGGCAAAATCTTTGGGTGTCCGAAGCGTTAGCGAAGGACTATTTACTGTACAGAACTAGCAAAATTTAGTTTAACCCGCTCTACAAAAAATTTTATCCGTTATTTCTGTAAAAACTCGGATCCATTCACGGAAAATGTAAATAATTCGATAATTTCCGTGATATAAGCACATTTCATTTTTATAGGGATAAAGATTATTAATTCCGTGAATTTTACGGAATGTGAAATACGGGATCAACTTATTATATTATTTCGATCTTCGTGATTCATATGATTAATCATTAAGTGCACGAAATGAAAATTTTATCTTCTAATAAATTATCTTCAATTTGAAGGGTTACCGGATTGGATATTTTTACCCATTTAAGATCGGCGTGAAACTTCGTAATAATAATAAAAAAAAAGTATCAGTAAGGGGCAAGGTCAGATACCGACTTAATTTCTATTGCTAATTTGTGTAAACATCGGACAGTCTTATTATGGTTGTTCCAATGGTTGATTGTGAAATTGATTTACCTACGCGATAGATATAAAATGGTCTCTCTTTTGCACCTTTTGATTTTTCATAACTATTAGTTCTCCCCGTACAATCAATTTTAATAACAACACATCTCTCACATCTCTTCATAATAATTACACATTTAACTCAATTTCACCATGAATCCGAGACATTTAATTTTATTTATTTATCTCACTCTTCTCATAGTTTGTACTATTAATATTAAAACAACTCTCGCTGATGATTGTGATGGAAAATGTAAGCTACCCGAAAGATGTTGTTGTATGGGAGGCTCCACAACTTGCTTTTGTACTACTAGTATATGCGAAAATTAATTTTCCAGATATCATATCGATTTGATTTTGATTAGTATTCTTCTTAAAAAATCATACCATGATGAATATTTCTTCTTCATATTTATTAATGTTATTATTTCTTCTTACTATTCTTGGCTTGCTTTCTTGGCTTGCTTGTGTAGTTAAAACGTATAAATTATACAAGCAAGCATCTTTTTGAGGCTTAAATTGATGAAGTTATATCAAAAAATTAATCCCTTAAATATACTGAGTTTTTTTTTTGAAATATGAATTGTTCTTTATTTTCGAAAACTTTAAATTGTAATTATTGTCCAATTTTCATTCAGTATTTTTTATAAAAAATCAAATGTACAATTATTGTAAGATTTATTACATTTAATAAACAGAAATTGTGCAATTTTTCAAATATTTAAATTTGTAGCTATTATTTATTAGATTCGTACAATTTTTCCAATATATTTTTTTTAAATTATATGAATTTATAAATTTTATAGTATAAATCTGCAATTAAATTATTCATCACTTCAGTTTCAGTCTACTTTTTGTCAATAATTTTCATGTAGTTAAAAAAATAATTATATTGACGAAAATAATTTACTAACTAACTTACATACCGCTATCGCTATTCTATAATTTATTTGAAAACCTTCGCACGTTATTTAGGAAATTCCTGTTTATTTACTTTTGCAGAAACTTTTAAAATCGAAACCGCATCGTGACCAAGTCGAAATTATATCATAAACCTTATAACCAAGGTTTGGTCATGATATGGTCTCACATCTTTACAATAAGTTCAGGTCAATCGTATGTATAAAGTTGACGCGTATAGATCGACATCTGATTTAACTGGGTCGTACAAAAATAAGTATAAAGTTATGTTAAATCTATTATTATTCTAATCTATAAATAAAGTTATATTCTATTAATATAAATTAATCTATAAATGTAAAATGTCTTATTAACTCTATGAATAATATTCATTTTTTTAAAGAAGTTGAAATTGTTCGAAACTTGGGATTCCTGTAGAAGCCATTTCCCTACTAAATAAATAAATTAATTAAAGTTATTAAAACGTTTTTAAAAGAAAGTTTTTGAAGGTGTTTCAAAAACATACTTGATACTTCCTGTTCTCGGAGCAAGTGTCTACAAAATTGTTAGTTAATGTTTCATGGTCATTCGATCATTCGAGGAACTCTTTCCGCTGGTCATTCAGTCCAAAAATTTTCAGGACGATAAAAATAATGGAAGGTTCCAAAAGTTAAAAGAAAAAATTTTTTAGCACCGGACAAACATTACCAACTGTTTATGTATTCCTTTAGGTTCTTTTTGATACTAGCTTGAGGGGAAGTTATTATGTCACAAAAAAATTTTTTGGCTCGCAAAGTTTCGCTTCTAAAAAAAATAGGTACTTGCTCAAAAAGTTCCAGAGCTTCACTACCTTTGTTAGCTAGTAGTTCGAACAAGATTCTGAAAACATTAGACAAGCGTGGCAAGACAGTACTTCTTCTTTACTTTAGTTCTTAGCTCTTTGGACTCAGTTTCTTGGGAATATTTTGACTTCCGTCGTCCTTTCGTGGCGCAGCAAAAATTTGAACTCGACCAAAATGATTTTCTGAGGAATCAATTAGATTTTTTGGAGATGGCATCATTAGTTTGACATCATTTTTGTCGAAGTCACGTTTAATTATGTAAAAAATTTTTCTGACGCTAAATTTTAATGACGTTTACATGATTAACTACAGGAGGAATGCTTCGAAGTTCAACTGGTCGTTCCTGTTTTCGCTTTATATAGAGAGATGAGGTTACAGAACTAAGAGGATATTGTTGACCATTCTTAGTAAGCTAATATGCAATTATTCTTGCATAACGCCGTATTAATATTGTATTAATATTGATAATTTAATATTAAATAGCTAAATAATAGCTTTTATAGGGGACTCTTTTTTCTCATTCCATTCCCACACAATATCTATATAGTTATTTATAACCAAATATGATTGGCTATAGAAGTATATTAAAGTTTAAGTCTATATCATATATGTAAGTCTAATATTAAATCAGATTAAATTGATTTATTAATCAGTTTCGCCAGATCGATACAATCAAATTTATTATTTAAAGAGAAATAATTTCGCTTTTTTACATAATCGCTATATTAAAATACAATACGTTGTATTAGTATATTTTATAATTATTAGGATTAGAAAAGTAAAAATTGTTACTAATATATAATCGGCTTTTATTAAAATGAATTTATTACATAATTTTATTTAATAAATAAATGTGACAAAAAAAAAAAAATAAATAAAGAAATCGGTAAATCGAAAAAAATATATTAGATTAATTGTTTCGGCTAATTTTCGATGACGCACGTCACGACTTCGAAAAGACTACGAAAAAGCCTGTCATCGAAAGTTCCACGAGATAGTCCGACACCACGATCTGATACTAGATCGTTGGGATTTATTGGCGATCACTTAACTGCATGATAACAAATCATGGGTTTCTATGTAATTCCGAAATTCGAACACACGTGTTCCAAAGAAAAACGATTCACTGGTCGAAGTGGTATAGTTTTCATTATGGAAACCTTGGTGTACGTGATTGAAACTTGTCCAATTTGCATAACATAACATTTCCACAAAAACTGGAAACTTCATTGAAATCTGGCATACACAATGGAAAATTGGACAGGTTTCTGCCAAATTTTAATAGTATAAACTTCGTATAAACCATACTATCTCATTAGTAGAGAAGAAATAAAATAAATTCATCCATAAACTTATCATACATGTTCTAAATTGATTCAAAATTTATGTATTATAAAAAACATCCTTCCCTTGAAATATATTTAATTTCATCATAAATTATAATGTAAATTGAATTTATTTTTTGTGATTTTCTCAATGACTAATAACCAAAATAATATGAAATCAAAATATATTTTATATATAAGAATTTGGTTCAATTTTGGACTTTCTATTATATGCCAATTTTTTTTTACTGTGTACAAATTAATTCTTTTAATTAATATCAATTATAGTTTTGAACAAAATATACAAAATATACAATAAAAAATTTTTTTTTTTAAAATATATTAAACAATAAATAAATAACGAATAAATCCAATTATTCCATTTTTTATTTAAAAAATCTTATGTTACAATACGCAAATATTTCTTAAACACTTTAGTATTACTACTATTTCGACCTTCCTCTACATCATTTTGTTACCTAGAGATGTAATTACGCAGCTTATTATAATACTATTAAAATTTTCGAAAAAAAAAAAAATTTCATACTTCAAAAATTAGCTAATTTAAAATGGGAATGAGTATATGCAAAAGGATTATAAATTTATTTTATATTAATAATAATTACAAGTTTGACAAACTTCATTATGTCTCAAAATTATTAATCATGATTATTTCTGGGAAAGATGCTTGCTTGTACAAATTATACTGGGGGCTAAAGTACCCTAAAGTATAAGTAAGACCGGGTACTATGCATGAAGACTGTAAAAATATTTTCGCTTAATTTGTATTGTTATACTTTATATTTACGCGATGCAAAGTTATAAATTCGGTTTTCATATCACAATTTGTCATTTTTGACCCGGCCGCCTGGATTTTTATTTTAAATTCAAAAATTTTTAACCAATAAAATTTAGCTATCCGATCTATAATAATTTTCATATGTTAAAAGTTTTAGGTTAAATTATATCATAATTATTATACCAACCCGGCCGGGATATGAAAACCGAATTTATAACTTTGCGTCGCCTAATATGGGGATACTATTACACTTAAAATTTATTACGAAAACAAACATTATCATTATTATACACCTTATTAAAATTGTTAATATTAATATTCAATTAAATTCATTTTCATAATCATATTTCATTTGTATCAAAGTCTACTAAAAAAAGCTAAGAAAATAAAATATGTAAAACAAAAAAAGCTAAGATTTTCTTTATTCTTTAAGACGTGTTTAAGTTATATAAATGGGAAAAGTATAAAATTTATAATTTAAATTGATCTTTCTAAATTGGAAAATGATCTTTCGATCATAAAGCAAATTTATATCCCCCTCCAGAAGCTTTAATTTATGACACCCGGATGCTATAGCTAACCGTTTACGCTACACAAGCCAAGCTATACACATACGAATTAACATGAATTATAAAGAAATCGAACTTTTTTTTGCTAAATAATAAGAGGAAATAATAATAACTATAATATATATGTATCAATACATGACATGATTTTTAAGAAGAATAATGTAATTTGATCAAATAATAAATAAATGAAATTAAATGTCTTGGATTCATAGTTAAATGCAATTAATATAAAGTAATGAGTTGTTTTTTGAAATTGATTTTCGGGAAGAACTATAGTTATGAAAAAATCATAAGGTGCAAAAAGGGAGAACCTTTTTGTATCTATCGCGTAAGTAAATCAATTTCAAAATCAATCGTCGGGAACATTAACAGATGTACCTTAGGCTGAACAAATAGGACTATAATTAGCATTGCCCGAAGATTTTACCCGATATAGGTATGTAGGTTATTTTAATTCAAGATCGCTCGGGAATCAATCGTATATTCGATCGTGAAAATATGTTGATCACAATATGGGCAAGGTAATCGAGTTCTTATAATTTTTATTGTTAATTTTAATTTTAGATCGGAATATATAATAAGGAACTTTTCTCAATATCATACTTGTATAAGTTATTTACACTTTAAAACTTATTTGATTAAAGTACTTTTTAACTAATTAATAGCTAATTTTAATGTTATTTAGGCATTCCATAAATTTCTCTTTTTCATTAATTATCGCCGTTTTCAAATTAGTGCGACCCCCTGTAAGTCACCCCTCTAAGGAAATCGGTATTCACAAATCTGGAAAATCCGGATTTTTCCTGTATAACTATGTGAAGAAGGGTCGATTATTGAGATTGCCAGAGGAAATCATAAGAAATTTTCAGTTATTTAAGTAGTTTCTCTTGAAAATATGGTAGTGTTACGCAAAGTTTTAATCCTTGTTCATAGGAAAACTACTTAAATAATTGAAATTTCTGCATGAATTCCTTCGGAAATCGCTAATAATCGACCATTCTCTACATAGTTAACCAAGAAAATTCCGGATTTTCCAGATTTGTGAATACTGATTTCCTTAGAGACAGGGGTCGCACTAATTTGATAATTAATATCTTTACTCATAGAAATAACATTCATTACAAACCGGTTCAATTTTAAAATTATGTAATACTATATATTCTTAATAAAGTTTCTTGAATAAAAACATAAGACAATTGACTTATAATTTTTATTAATTACATTTTGAAACCTTCATAATGAAAAAATACTCCGGTCTTTCCAGCACGGTAAATAAAAAGGGGACGCATTCACTTCGCAAACGTTTCATCTCACTACATAGTATGGTTATTTTTAATTATTCCTTTTTTTTAAAAAAAAAAAACATGTACAGTATATATAATTGTTTCTTTCGTATAAAAAAAATTAAAAAATTTGTTTCTCTTTTTTTAATGTCCTAATTTTAGTAATTTTAATATGTACAGTACATAGCCCCAAATTTTTTTATTATCGCATATCATTTAACCATTTTTATTATTTTTGAAAATTTATTTAAAAATAGGCATCGATGGAATTATATCCCTGTCGTTGAAATGTTTGTTGGTAAGTAATTGTCGGTGAACAACCAGACTCTTTATGATATGAATAATGGGCGCTCTGCTGGAATTTCACCGCCATTGTTTTTTTTAAAAAAACATAATATAATATCAAATATTCTTTAAGATATTTAAAAATGTTTGTTTTTGAATCCATGAACTTATCATACACATAACACATTCAAAATATATGTTATATAAAAAAAATCCTTCCTTTGAAATATATTTAATTTCGATGCAATCAATTTATTTTTTGTGATTTTAATATAGTTTTCTTAATGAAACCAATATATTTTGTATATAAAATTTGGTTCAATTGTTGGACTTTCTATTATTATATGCTATTTCTTTTACTTAGTGTTATCAATTAATTCAAATTTTTTAAAAGCATTTAATTAATATTAATTAAACTCTTTAAAGAAAATTGACAAAATATATAAATAAATCCATTATTCCATTTTAATATTTATTAAAACACTTTTGTATTACTATTTCGACCTTCCTCTAGTACATTTTGTCCCTCAATTTTTCACTTTTCGTTTTTAATTACCTAGAGGTATAATTATGCAGATTACTATCCCTATAAAAAATTTTTATCCGAATATTTCCATTATTTCTCCGTGTCTTCCGTAAAGATTCCGTGAAAATGATACATTCACGGCCTTATAATAACGAAATGTATTAAATTTGTTGTTCATGTGTAATAAATGTCTAAACAAGCACCATTTTGTCCGATTTATGTCTTATTACAAAAAAACGAAAATTAAACAAAATGGTGCTTTTTTAGACATTTATTACACATGAACAACAAATTTAACACATTTCGTTTTTATAGGGCGGATATCGAGATGAAAATTTCCATGATTTAAGGCTATAAATTCCATGAGAATGATACGTTTACGGAAAAAACATGGAAAGATAAAACACGGATCAGATTTTTTACAGGGTA